GGAATCATCAGTGTTTTTTGGGGTATGACATATGCAGTGAAATATAAAAAGGAATGGATAATGACCTTTAACATTAAAGTTAAAAAATACTATTATCATGATCAGTGTACCATGAAGCACAAAAACTTACTCTCCAAGCAACACAATATATTGTGTAACACACTAAAGTAATTAATAAAATGAAAGAACCATTCCTTGCAGATGGATATGTAGGGGAGTGGAGAGGGAAAAAGTCACCTCCTTTTTAGGGCCAAAACACACTGATTTCCAGTAGCAATAAGGGGGGGGGGGCAGTTGTCCCCCTGCAGAAGCAGACCTCTAGTTGCTCCTTCACTGTGCACCACTGCCACTTCTCTGCCTTCCCTGATGCTGCAGCCAAAGCAGGAAAGATGCAGGGTATAGCTGGAGGGAGTGGAAACAGAAGGGTCTTTCCCTCTGCCCCCCAGAACTTAGCATTTGGGGTTGGTGCCTTGCTCACCCATGCATCACTACATTATTGCCTGGGAATTCAAACCACTGCTGATGAACAATACTGTTGTTATTGGACTGTCCCTAGTTTTATTGTTAAAAATATATCACACACAGAATACTTCAAACAGAGACTGTATGACCAAGACTTGGCTGGGTGACATGGCAAGGCTTGTATTGGCCAACTTTGCCTTTGCCTTGCTAAGGCTGTTCACATTTGGTACCTAAACCCAAGGGACTATGTTTCATCAGTCATGCAAGCATGCCTTCCCTCTTTCATCTGAGGGATGTGCCCATCTCCTAATCTTCCCTCTCCCCCCCTGAGCTTTTGTTGGGAAAAGCAGCATATACATCTCATAAATAAATACATAAAAATAATAAACTCAGTGAGAAAGAGACACCTCAGGAAGCACCAAGTAGTTTGCTGTCCTCCAGTTAACAAGAAACCAGAGCCAGCAGTGTCACCAAGCAGCGATACAGGTGCTGTCAATGATGGTGGTGAAAAGGTGATGCCCATTTCTTCCTTCTATACTTTAAGACTGGCACGTTATCTTCAGTCTGTCCCTACATTTTCAGTGCTTAGAAGGCCAACCTTTACCACAGAACACCTTGATATTTCTCCATCTCAGACAGTCTCCTCATTCTGTCCACAGTCAAATCTCTGTCCGTTCAGGTAAAGCGAAGGCTATGCAATCACAGCATATGGAGGAAAGCTCACAGACCCCTGCACTCCTGTCCTGCACATGCTGAAACACCTTGGGACAACAATAGCCTGCTAAGAGGCAGAAGAACTGCAAAGCTGATGAATCATTATGTCCATGACCTGAAAGTGCATACTGCTGACAAACTGGTTTCCAGACAGTTCTCGCCTCCCTATTGCCCATGCAAGGAGGCATCTTATCAGACCCAGAAACAAAGAAACTGAATACCAATGATAAAAAAAACTGAACTGAAGCAGAAGGATTTAAAAGGTGAAACATCTGTATAGACATCTGCTGATGCTGTAGAATTCTTCACCCCGGCAGCATCCAGCACTGGCCTGGTGAGAGGAGCTTCGTCCTTCTTTGGAAGTCAGTCAGCTACAGGGAAGGGGCTTCCTGGGAATCAACTCAGGGCTCAGAGAATTAAAGGGGCACGCATGGTATAACCTGCTTCTTCCCACCATTTCCCTCCCTACTCAGGCCCAGCAACTTCCTACCCCAGTTATGCACTGTGTGCTGCTACTACAAACAGAACTTAAGTCAGCTGACCTCTTTATGAGGGATGACAGAAAAATGCCACGGAGATATACATTTTACGGCCTGGTCTTGGTTTTGATTCTTCACTTTTCTCAGGCAATTTAGAGTCAGCAAGAGTCTTTGAGGGGTCAGATGCCACAGGTTAGCTCACACTTTGCTGTGGGCTAAGAGAACACATGCAGGCAGTTGTCAGTGGGCATATCTACCCGTGCACCCAACTGTGCACTGCGCAGTCATGTAGTCATTGAGCAATACTAAATGACTGCACAGTACCTGCCGGTGCTGCACAATCCCAGCAGCGCACAGGTCATTTCCGACCCTATGGCACAATAGCAACGAGCTACTGCACAGTAACCTGTTGCTACTGTGCAGTAGCAGTGGCATTATGGTACATCCTGCTAACACTGTGTCACCATAGCTCACTGCTACAGTGATGTAGCAGCTCATGTAGATGCGCCCAGTGTATATCCGTATATCTCAGCCTTGTCTACAGTAGCTTATTCCTGGGTACATGCCTGGAGTGTAAAGTGATGTTGGGATCTAGCCTTCTGTCCTCATTTAAAGAAAAATGCTCCCGCTTTGTGTTTGCAGTGGTCCTTGGCATTAGCATTTAGAACAAGGTATGAAAACAAATACCGACAGAAAAATCCCTGCACAACTTCCTTAGATTATAGAGGACTGGCTTTGATGTTCAGAGAGAGAGAATAGACTATCATGTAGTCACAGTAAGTTCTTTTCAGTCCAAACAAGAGACTACTTTTATTTCATTGGATTTGCATACTTATAAAGTAAGTACCCATTTGCCTGTTCATTGCTTGGCTATAACATCATTTATCTTCTTTATTCACAGTTCCCCAGAAATTGGAGACTCATGCATCCCTGCCTTCAGCTTTGCTTTTGGCATCCTCCTCTGACGTATGATGAGTCATCACAGAATGCTGTTTAGGACTGCAGATATGAAATCTAAGGTACAGTTCTATCTCCCACACTTGTTTTAAAGGACAAAGCTTTACATTTGGCCCCTAAAGTAAAGGAAACCAGATGACTCAGGCAAGTGGCTAATGACGAAACAGAGTGCAATTTGATAACTCAGTCTGAGTTGATTTCCCCAGCCTGATCGTAAGGCTGGGGAGGGGAACTGATTGATCGGGCTCAGTTCCCTTCCCCAGCCCAATTGATCCCAGTGCTGGGGAGGGGAACTGAGCAATTGGGCTCAGTTCCCTTCCCCAGCTCCCCGGTCCCAGGTGGCAGCACCTGGCTTCCCTCCCTCATCTGGCAGGCAGATTGAGGGATGCAACCCCAGGAGGACTGGCACAGCCCCTGCAGCCCTCCTGGGGTTGCGGGCCCCTGATCTGCCTGCCTGATGAGAGAGGATGTTTTGTGCTTCCCCATTATAGCCTATGGGCGAAACGTCAAAACAGCATCAAAACAGTGTCACTATTTCAATGAAATGAAATGGAATAGCGGTTTTGAATCAAAACAAAATGTGAAACGAAATGCTGTTCTGTTAAAACCTTGAAATGCAAGTCGAAACAGAACGGTGCTGTTTTGCACAGCCCTGCTCAGCATGCTACATAGGGTCTGATCCTGGTCCCATAAAATTTAATGGCAAAATTTCCATTGATTTCAGTAGTATAGGGCTTCCCTCCTACTTTTTAATGATGTTCTTTTTATGTTTACAAAGGTTCAGCTTGTCATACCATAGCCTTCAATAAAAATAATGTAGGGTGGTGAATGCAAGTGGTCCACTTGAATTGGCAGCACCCAGGTTTGTACTGAGGAAATAAGGAACTTCCTCAGTCGATAATAGCTGCTGAATGTGAAACAAAAAGGACATAAAGGACACATGTTGTTTTCTGAGAGAGAGTAAATCTGCAAGGAGAGTATCTTGTGCAATTGTAAAAAACTTTCAGTCCACATACACATTGTCTAAGAAACCCCAATTTTTGTTAGAGTGGCCTTTTTGTTCTGAACATTTTCATGGAACATTGGCAAGTGAAAGCTAATATGGCTGTATCTACTTTAAAATCCTAACTACCCAACTTAGAGCATCTGAAGACAGCAGTGTCAGGTGTTCATAGCCAGGTGAGCTCAAGCCATTGGGTAACATGAGTCATTGCCTTAGATTTTCTAGGAGACTCAGTATTTCTAGTCAACAATTTCATTCCCCTCCCATTAAGCCTGCTGTCTGAATCAGGTTATGTCACTGTGACCCAGCTCAATGGAAACCTGAATATCTTTGAAACATAGTTATTGCTTTGAGCTACAGAAAGAACTGCTGCTGCTAAATACTTGGATGTAAAAACCAATCTCCACCCCAAAATTCCCAACCACTCTAAGCTGCCCCCCATGCCCTCCAAAACCTACTTCTCCCCCAACACCACACATCACTCCCAGCCATTTCAAAAGGATGGGAACTCTTGAACCTCCAAGAGATGCTATGTTGCTGTAGCAGTGCACTTTGGCAACATAGAGTTGGCGGGCAACCCATGATGCTGCAGCTACATCGCTGCAGCACCACGTTCCCTTGCTATATCGCATTAGTACAGTGACACAGTGGCTAAAAATAACTGCACTGCCCGCACAGTGCAGTAATGGCTGTTACTGTGTCACCTAAAGGAAGTACTAAATGACGGCGCAGTAACAATGATGCCACAGGGGCATGTGTAGATGCACCCACTGATCTATATTGCTGATCACACTTACAACAGATGTACCACAAGCCCATCCATCACTACAAGTTCTTGTGCAGTTTAATAAAAGACCTTTAAAATTCAGATAAGTCCCAAGGACGGATAGAAAAAGGCTCAAAGGCAGGAAAGTCTGTTCTGGGATATACTTGTGACTATTACAGGAGAACAGAATCAGAACCAAAAAGGTTGTTTGAGAAGTACTGCCTATATAGTATTTTGCACACAAGCATGCGCGTGCACACACACACACACACACACGGACATACAGGCTTTCCACGTGGTTTCCAACACACAATTCTTTACTTAGAAAGCAAAGAAGATATGCAAACCCAGAAATTACTAATTGGCCCTGCTTGTATTTTTTGCCCTTATTTGCTCACATCTCTGTGGCTAGATCACAGTCCTGTGGTGTGTCCAATATCTTTCTCCTTCAGCTCAGCCCTTGTTCTCTAAATCAGTGGTCTCCAAACTTTTTTGATTGTGCACCCCTATCAGTAAACAAACTTTGAGCACGCACCCCCAATATATGTATATTTATATTCGCGCACCCCTATCAGTAAAAAATTTTTGAGCGTGCACCCCCAATATATGTATATTTATATAAATATACATCTAAATAGAAGTTCTAATATTTTCTTCCTGCACCCCAATGGATCGTCTTGTGCACCCCACTTTGGAGACCACTGTTCTAAATCACAGAAATTACCTATCTATCTCTCTCCCACTCCCCAGCTCCCCTCCAGGTCTGCTTCTTGTAAGTTAGGTTTTAGGAACCTTTTCTTCTGTAACTTCCAGCCTCGCCATATCAGGTGAGTCCCAGTTAGCCTCAACAGGTCATCAAAGCCATCTATCAGCTGTTCTGTTGCTTAATTGCCTTTCCTACCCCAGAGTTCAGACATGAACAATTGGTTTGCTCTGGGGCAGCAGCCATCTCTTTATCCAAAAGTGTTTTATATATATTGATGATTGTCGGGTTTTAACAACCCTTTATTACTAGCCCTCTGCCACCTCTCTTTGAAAAGTTAGTCCATGATGGGAAGTGAAAAGACAGCAAGAAGAAAAAGTTCAACTAGTCTTATAATCAAAATGGAGTCAGCTATTTAATACAGATATATGCAGTTTATCATCTCAGCTCAAATTCATAAGCTGTACCTAAATTCCCCAGAGGACTCCAGGGTGTAACACATTTAGCATGAATGCTAACTAATATGACATAGTCAAAACCTTGGCAATTAACCATGAATTTTTATGACAAATTACTTCTATAGCTGTAGAGTGGACTTCTCTCTCTCCCTCTCTCTCTCTCTTTTTCCCCACATGAAGAAGGAAACATGTATGTTTTAAGGAATCTGATATGGAATAAATGAACAGAACCTATGTGGTGACCATGTGAATGATGTTATTGTACTCATAAACCACTCCTACAAGACCCTAAACTGAATTGGACTACAGAGTTGAACACTTTAAAAAGGGTGAGACACACAAGATAGGAAGGAGCAAGATTTGTGTCAGATTTCCTACTTCAACAGTACATTTCTGCCCAACTGTACAAGGTGATGTCTGACAGTGGGGGAAAGTAAGCTGAGACCTAACGGGGCATTCAGAGCTAATTTACAGAACAGGTAATGAACATATGACATCTGTTAGAGAATCCCTACTCTGCCTGCCCTGCAGAGCCTCTTCTGCTATATAATTGCAGATCAAATATCAAGTTCATTCAGATCATACAGAATAAATAGCCTACTGTCTCCCTCTGCAACTGTACTGCTACATCTGAGCCTAAAATAAACTGATCAGTGCTTCTTCAGTGGTACTGAAGAGCCCCAGAAAAGTATCAAAAAAAAGCAATCCAACAAAGAGGAAGCAGCATATACAATGTGCTCAGCATGTCACAAGAAGCAGATCCACTACATAAAATGCTCCTCCAAAAAGCTAAGCAGCATGCTCCTCTATCCACAACTTTTTTCTCTTGCTTGCAGTTTCTATAGCAAGAGGAAGTCTCTACAGCATGTCATTTGTCGTAGAGCAAAAATAAATGCTAACAATGTTGGTACTGACTATTAACTAGCAGCTCTGCCGTGTCCTATGGATCATTTGAATTGTTGTCACCCACTGACACAGAGGGTGTGCTGGGGGGGGAATGTAGGCAGCTAGCTGTAAACTAGCTCCATATCCATCATGGCTTTTAAAAGCCAGCTAGGGAAGATTGGGGCCACTGCTAGCAGCGGTTGTCAATGCCTTCCTCTGGGGAGGGCAGGGTGCAGGATGTTCTTAAGTCTGTGGTTGTCTGGTCCCTACACTCAAGAAACCATCACCTGACACTGACTACTCAGCCAGTTATCCCCCTCTTTAAGCAACAGCCCTCTTAAAACGACCGCAGCAGGGATTGTTTCAAAGTTCCTACCAGGGTGCAGGCTTTGTGGGAGTGGGGGGCAATTCCAGTGTCCCTTCTAACTTGTCCCTTAGGGCAGGTGCCCCTCTCACCCACCCCTAGTTATGCTGTTTCTAAGGTTAGTGGACAGCAACCTCCTGCAAGTCCAGTATGGTAAGCAGGCTTGGTGAAAACACATGGGAGATCATTCTCAACAGTTGCTCCTCCACTCTGAAATTCGCTTCACCTCCGTGCCCCTTGAGGCCTGCTGGAGCCTGGGTGAGGACATCTTCCCTAAATCCTGTAAGACCTTCCTATTTGGGCAGGCATTTAGCAAGCAAGGGGAGGCTGGGATACTCTTTAGGCAGGGGGTGTCTTATATTCTATTTTAATTCTCTACTTGCATTTATACATTACTTTGTTCTCGTGTTTTGTTCTCTTGTACAGTCTTTTGTTTCATAAGCTATTTTATTCTTTTCCTATAAGCCATCCTGAGCCTCTGTTAGGAAGGGCGGCACATAAATCTGTAATAAACATTTATAATGTAACATTAGTATAGCCCGAGAGGCTGCCCCTGCAGCCCCTTTGTCATGTGCACAGACCCCAGTGAAGTCATTGGTTCCTCACTTGAGTAAATGCTGCAGTGACAGTGAACATTTAAAGTGAAGTTCAATCTGGTAAAGCAGCCTTGGGCAAAGGATGTGGCAGAGTGCTATGTTTGTCAATCATTTGTGATTTCTATATCAGGGTGCTTCATTTCCTGCTACAGATATACTCTTTAAAATACCTATGAGGGGCTACATTTATGATGGGGCGCCTTAGACTCAAAGCTGCAACACCTATTTATTGTTTGGCTACCAAGTGGAATATACAGCTCTTGAGATAAGTCCCTACACCCCCATAC